ATCTACTCTGAAATCTTTACCAAAGATTGACACAAGACAATTCAAGAACACTGAATATGTAGTGATCGACCCAATAGATGGAGTATCAATCACCATTCCTTTACTCAAGATAGATGACATAAGTCCTAGTTTCTTCACACAATTAACAGAAATAAACGAGTGGGTTGCACCCATATCAATGATAGCAATCAAATGAGTGTTATGAATGTAACAAGTACCTCTGACTAAATGATCTTCATTGGTAGGCTGAGCCCCCACTAATGCAAATACCTTCCCACCGGTATGCGACTTCTTCGGCTTCTGACAGTGGGTATTGATGTGACCCTATTCACCATAGTTGTAATAGGTAAGTATATTGGTCCTATAATCTGCCACAACATGACCTGGATTTCCGCATTTGAAACATTTCTTCACTTTATTCTGAAATTCATTAGCACGACGACCCGTGCCACCACATCTAAAACACTTGATAGGGTTGGAAGGATTTCCTCCCCCACTTGGCTTCTTGCTAGCAACCGCTTTCTGCTTTCCTTTATCGGCCGAAGCACTGTAAGGTGTACTCCCATGTCTCTGCTTACCCATTTTGTCACTCATGGCCTTGTAGTGAGCTACTTGAGCCCTGTTGTCTTCATCATAAATTTGACACTTGTTCACCAACTCAAGAAAGTATCTAATCTTCTGATAATCGATACCTTGTTTGATCTCGGGACGCAACCTATTCTCAAACTTGATACACTTTGAACTCATAACATAATCGGTATTATAATGAGGATAATACTTCACCAGCTCCTCGAATTAAGCTGCATATTCTACAACCCTCATATTTCCTTGCTTTAATTCCAGGAGTTCAACCTCTTTCTTGCCACGAACATCTTCTGGAAAATACTTCTCCAGAAACTCATTCTTGAACGTCGCCCAAGTAATAGGACCACCTACAACTTCTAGCCTTTGACGGGTGTTATCCCACTTGTATTCAGCTTCTCCATCCAGCATGTACGTGCCAAATTGCACCTTCTGAGCTTCATTGCATCCCATGGCTCTGAATATTTTCTCAATATCCTTCAGCCACTTCTGCGCCACATCCGATTTGTGTTTACCCTCGAACTTAGGTGGGTTGTTATTCTGGAACTTTTCCAAATTGCGGAACTCGACGTCCCCAACATTCTGAGTGATGCCTTGCACCGCCTACACAATAGCTTGTAACACAGAAGCAATCACATCATCATTCCTACCAGCCATACTGCTCAACACCAAAGTAAACACAGGTTAGAAGAAACACACAATTATACACACTATATAGTCAGACTACACTACTACACTGGTCGGACGGGCCGACCTGCTCTAATACCAATTGTAACACCCTACTCTACACATTCGTATAAAATTGAAAATACGATAATAAATGCGGAAATAAATTAGAGTTAATACACGTAGGATGTCACTTATCCAAAAACAACGTCAACGTGAAGTATCAATGCGCTTCACATTTTATTTATTTCATAAAAATAAGTAGTATGAATAATCATTGAAATTAAATCAAATGGTTTAACATGTAAACATCAAATACATCAACTCCCAACATAATACGTGGTTCCAAAATAATTAAATCAAAATAAAATACGTAACAAATACAAGGTCAAATAACATGAAGACATAACAAAATCCCCACCCTTCCCGTGTTACGTAGCAGAGCGACTCCTAAGACTTGATCAAATAGAAACACAATGCTCCAAACACTACTCAGGTACCTAATCATCTATACTCCCCAAGGAGCACATACACAACAAACAGAAAAAGGGGTAAGAACTACATTCAATAAATACACGGTGAAAAACACATGCTAAGAATAGTTAACACATAAATCACACAATTATCATGCACATATAAGTGCCACATCATCATTTGGCATAAACAATCCATATTCAATTATATATATGCAATGCGACTCAACTGACACGACACAATGCATGTGGTACCATCACAATCACATACGGTTCACCCTAGAACCCGATTCCCGTCGAAATCCAGATAAGTCGTATACATTCATCTGAACTACAACTTATCTCCACTCGACTCCCATATAGAGTCTAGACAAGACTAGGCACCTATCATAGATTTCCACCTAGCTCATCTCCATATAACATGAATTGAATGCATGACACAAAATTATGTACAATGTAATTATTATTCAAGCATAATTTCATGATCCTCAATGATCACACACAAGCCATATGCTCACCGTAATTCTCTCTGGAATTTCCACCACAATATAAGACCGTTTACACGCGACAACCTTGGCTCATACACCCAACACGTCTCGACTATACATTCTTATAAAAACCCACATTTTATTCTACTTAGTGCTATTACTAGTTTCTCTTATGTCCAACTATACCATCTTAGTCTTACAGATCAAGGGAAATTGCACCGCACGCGAAATCGTGTCAAAAATCGCAAAAACGAGAAAACTGCACTACAACCCTACTCATACGTGTAATGGCTTGCTCACTTGCCCACCCTGCTGTATACCACATGCGTAGGGCCCTAGACTGCCCAGGTTCATACGCGTAATGCCCAGTGCCTTACGCGTATGACCAGAGACGTTTCCCCCCAAAACTCCATTTTCAGATCCCCTTATGCGTAATATCCTTCCATACGCGTAATGCCCAGTTCTCCTTATGCGTATTGGCATAGGGTCGTGCTGGCCTTAGGATAGGGTGCGTACCATACGCGTAATGCCCTAGGGGTTCCCTGCCATACGCGTAATGCCTCACTTATTACGCGTATGACCAGTGTCTCCACCAAAATTTCGTTTTCTGCATTTGTTACAAATTTCCGCCCTTTGATCCCTCATTCCAGCATCTAAATCAGATCCAAAATCATCTTTTCTTCAGTCTAATCCAAAAGTTCTAACTCTACTTCATGGTTTCATCATTCTTATCAACATTTTAGGTGTTACCAACATGATTTTCATTAATTCCATAAACCCAAATTTCATATTTGTTCTATATCAGAACTCAACAACACATAATTAATATGCACAAATTTTACTATTCAATTTTAATATATAATATAGATTCACACATACATGCATTCACACCTGACATTACTCAAAACATGGATTTACAATAACAATAACACAATAACAGCTCAAGAAGATGAAAATATAGAGAATCCTAAGAAGGAAAGGAACCCTCACTACCCTATCATGTTATTAACACCATTATTGACCCCATTCTCCCCCTTACATGAATTTGAGCTTCAAGTCCTTCAACAATGGTGAAAACGTCCTTCTTGCCCTAGTTCTCCCTTGTTATCTTTTCCTTCTCTTTTCATGTAACTGCTCTGATTTTTGCTAACCTCTAAACTAATCCCTCTAATTATGTTTTAATAACTATCTTAATAATAATAATAAAAATAATCTCAATAATAATAATAATGCTAGTAATTATAATAATACTAATATTAATAATTATAAAAGTAATAATATTAATATTAATACAATTATACAACTAACATTACATTAATAAAATGTCTCCTTATTATATTATTATCCCCATGCTGTCCTAACCTTTAATTCCGATTAAGTCCTCATACTAAGCTCTCACACTCCCACTTAACACACTTATCTTTAAACAAGAAAATAAAAGCACAAACAACACACAAAATGATTATGACACGACTAAATAATTAAATGGGGGTGTTACAGGGTACATGTGTAAGGGATTACAACCCACCTCACTTGTGAATGAGTGAGATGTTAGATTTATAAGAGAGAAGACTCGTATACATAATACCTTATGTTTTGGATGAAAATGTGGTATTTTATTCTCTTGTGATCATGGAGCATTAGTCTCATTGTTGCTTTCACCTTCTCAGATCTCTCCAACAAGTAGTATCAAATTCCTAATCCAACCTGACAGAGGAGCATGAGATGTATCTTGCGTTTAACTCTATTATACGATTGTGGAGAACTCAGACTTGTGGGTGCAAATGTAAGGTGTTATGACCCACATCACTTATGAATGATGTAATATTAGATTTATAAAATACAATACCCTTATATAATATCTTAAGATTTTTGATGAAGATGTGATATCTTATTCTCTTATAATCTTCAAATATTTGTTTAATCATTATTTCCGCCTCCATAAAGTATCCAACAAATTTTAATTTTTTTATATAAAATGATAGAAAAAATCATTTTTAATAACTATGATTTTTCTATATAATAGACTAGTAATAGTACAATCATTTGTTTCAAAAAAAGGAGAAACATTATTTCACTACCGACTAGAGTTGTTAGTGAAATAACATGAGTTTTGAAATTTTAGTTTAGATGAGTCTAAATAAATTAATAGCACTTTCGTTAACATTTTAGTTAATAGTTGTATAAAGACATTAGATACCATGCATGCATGAATTCGAACTTATGACATCTTATTTTGTTTAGTTTTAAAAAGTAAATTTTAACCTAAAAAAATATTAAAAATAAATTTATTTTCTCATAGTATTGCTCATTATTAAATATTTGTCGTATGAGTAAAATGATTTTCGTAATTTTTAAAAATATTAATTAATAATAAATATTAATCTTAATTTTATTTATGTAATAATGAAGAAAAGATTATTTCTCCTTTTTAATATTTATCTCTTAATATTGACAAAGATTTTGTTATGCTTTTGTTTTCTTAATGATCAATCAAGAGAAATGAGAGAATAAATTTACAATTTAAGTTATTAGTGAAATAAGATAACTTATTTGTAATTTTAATTTGGATGAATAAAATAGATGGAGTTGTCGCAAAATAAAAACAAAACAAAAAAAAAAAAGTAGAAATTTGGCAAATAATTATAGAGAAAGTCATTTTGATACATATGACTTTTCTATACAAGGAGTCTAGCTAGTAAGCAGAAACATTATGAGTGGACCCATCCAAAAAAAAAGGATAAAAGGAAATTTCTTATCCTTGGATTGAAATCAGATTGACTAAAAGAAAATGGAAGTGAGCAACAAATATGTAGTGATTAAAGCTAACTTTGATGGTGCCCCTGAAAAGGACCATTTTGAGATTAAAACAGAAGAGACTTTTCTTCTATCTGTTGAGGAAGGATCTGATGATATCATTGTGAAGAATCTGTATACATCTGTTGACCCTTATCAGCTTAACCGCATGAAAACCTTCAGTCCTTCTCAGAATTCTGTAACCGCCGCAGCTCAAATTATTCCCGGCCAGGTATTCATTCTTTTTTGTTTTGTTACTTTATTCCTTGATAAATATGATGGGTTAAGTCGGTTGGTAGTTGGTTAAGTCAGTTCAGTTGATAGATCTGTGCAGAAATCTGAATATAAAAATGTATTTGAACTGACACGTAACTAACTTCCAGGCTATTGTTGCTCCTGTTATTGGTAAAGTTGTTGCTTCTGGGAATGCTAAGTTTCAGAAAGATGATTTGGTTATGGGATCATTCACTTGGGCTGAATATAGTGTGGTTAAGGAACAGAGCATAGTCAAGAAAATAGATTCCCCTGAATTTCCACTCACATATTATCTTGGAGTTCTAGGTATGTTTCATGTGCAAATAAAGTATTATTAGTTGATAAAAATTGAAAATAAAAAGAGGACAAAAATATAACTTAATAATGGTTAAAGTTTTTGGTCTTCTTTATTTCAGGTTTGAGTGGATTGACTGCCTATGCAGGTCTTTTCCAAGTGTGCAAACTCCAAAAAGGTGAAAAGGTATTTGTTTCAGCAGCCTCTGGATCCGTTGGAAATTTGGTAGGGCAATATGCAAAGCTATCTGGTTGCTATGTTGTTGGCAGTGCTGGTAGCCATAAGAAGGTGAGGTTTTGTACTATAGTTTAAGTGCATTTCTAATATGAGATTTAGCTTAAATCCATGAATGATTTATCTTAGGTTGCATTACTCAAAGAAACACTAGGATTTGACGATGCGTTCAACTACAAGGAAGAAAAAGATCTAAACTCAACTCTCAAAAGGTTTGATGATTCGTGATAAAGATAAAACCTAAAATATGACAAATTTTCAAATGAAAAAAATGATTTTGCAGGTACTTTCCTGATGGAATTGACATGTATTTTGACAATGTTGGAGGGGAAATGCTAGAAGCAGCAATAGCTAACATGAAAGCATTTGGTAGAGTGGCTGTTTGTGGTGTAATCTCTCAGTACACTGATGCTGGAAAGAGAGCTTCACCAAATATGATGGATGTTGTGTACAAGAGAATCACCATTAGAGGATTTTTATGTGCTGACTATATGGATGTTTTTGCAGATTTTTTGGCTAAAACATTTGATTACCTTCGTGATGGTAAGTTGCAGGTGATAGAAGAGATTTCAATGGGAGTGGAAAGCATCCCTTCTGGTTTTATTGAACTTTTCAATGGAGATAACGTTGGAAAGAGAATTATAAAATTAGAAGATGAATGAACCATATGTATGTACAGAAATGGGTGAATGGTAGATAAGAAATTTCAATTTCAAGAAACTACAGTGATGAACTTTTGTTTAGATTGTATAATATTTCTTTATGTTAGTTTTTTTCATAAGCAAGAAAGTATTATTGACTTGAGTGATGGATTATTGTGAGGGAAAATATTCACATTGGATCAAAGATTCATCTAAATAAGTGTGAAAAACAATGTATATTTATCAAAAATCTTAAGGTATTGGATATATGAGTCATTTCACTTTTTAAAGCAATGTAGAACTTACAATTTGCACTTGTTTCTCAATAATCTTTTCCTCAAGTGTGAGTTCATCCACTATGTTCCTCCTTAAACAAAAATTCTTTCATCCACATACTCGTACCGCTGTTGACATCCTTATCACGTCATAGACACTTCAACGGGACGCGTCCCCTAACCACCACCATGTCAATGAGATTTTTGATACAAAGAGTCGGTCATTTACTCAAACTATTGGCTCTGACACCACTGATAGGTCATCATGAGAAAAATACTATTACAAATAATATATTTTATGATAAAGCTTTCACTTCAACCAATAAATATTCGAAGTATAATTCCTAGACGCATCATGTTTTAATTTAAAAAAAAATACCATTTATTCCCTCGTTTGGAATATATGACCAAGGGGAAACTAATTCAGGAGACATGTTTGGAATTTCAACAACTGCAGTTTATGTTTTTATTTCTTTAAAGTGATGTATTTCTTATTATTTTATTTTTCTTTAAAAATTAAATGATCAATTTCTTCGGTCACACTACTAACCGAGGGATTCGATACTCATATTTGCCTATAAAAGCATTTGTTCGTTACGTTTTGCCCTAAACCTAACACATCTAGAACTGCTCCAAACTCATAAACATCATTATTTGGGATATATTGCAAGACGGAAAAATCTTGAAGTTTTCTTAATTAGTTAAGAAATCTTTGAAGGTTGTGTGTTGTTGTTCTTAAATACATGCATTGTAGAAACTAATTTTACCAAGTTTGAACAAAATATTTTCTTTTCTTGCAATCTATCTCACATAATGATGTAGTAGTTGTTGTTGTTATTGTTGTTGTTTCCACCTCTTACAATATATCTCACATGATCTTAAAAATTTTGTTTTGAATATAGTTATTTGTTTGAATATTTCAACACATAATGAAATTGGTGAATGGTCAATAGTTAAAAAAAAAAAGAAAACAATACGTGTTACTTTCGTTCACCATTTTTTTCCCAATAGAAGTAATCTATTATCTTAGTGGATTTAGCCACCGAGGGAAAAAAAACATATTTTATTTTATTTTTATCTATAAAATAAATAACATATATATACCTCAGTGTTACTAAAGAATCAAGGGGGAAAGTAACCAAATTTTGTCCATAAACGAATCTCGATCGTCCATTTATGAAGTAAAAACGCTCAAGATATTGGCAACATATCAATCCATAAGAAACCCTCCATATCCAATCAGAACGCAAACACCACGTCTATATATCTTGGACGCTACATTGTAAAACTCAAACATTGATAATGAAATCATTTGGATTAAAAAGAGTGAAACTTAAAGAAACTTGGAAACAATTTCTAGGATGAATTGTAAGAGCATAATTTTTTTGGTGCAAGGTTAATGCTCTTACATGTTAAGAATTTTTTAGAATCAATTAACATTGATTATGATCAATTAGCAATGATTAACTTTAATATTGTATAAATTTTAATGATTATATTACATATTATGTACAATCCATATGTATATAAATGTACATCTGGTGTGATCTCATTAGACACACAATTACATACAAAAATACACTTTCAATATGGTATAAGAAGTTAAGGGTATTATGATTTCTTCCTTTTTCTCCTAGTAACCTTGTCGTTTATAATACACATGGTTACACCGCGTGTCCCTGTTCTCCACCACCACGTATTTGATCATTGATGTGTCACCACCACAAGGTTCATAATCCTCTAACGAACCCATCGATGCAACGCTCACCCCCAATCGGCATGTCATGTGCCCTCACGTGCGGCCACCATCCCGACATGTGAGCCCCCCGGGCACTGCACCAGATCTATTTTTGGCGCATTTTCACCATACATCGCTACTCGCTCCGACCGTTACTGTCCTCCCCATCACTAAGTGGACATGTTTTCATGTTTTTCAACAATCAACTCTCATGTGAGATCACTCCGCAACTGATTTCATCACTTTTACAAAAGTTATTACTATTCTGACTACTTATCACAACGAGCTTCTTTAGTTAAAAGTAACCAATCTACCATCATTTTCTGCCTCTGTTTCTCAATCTGGTAATCCTGTAGCCTTGTCTATACATCCTCATCCCTTGGTTTGTGGATACTCGATTTTGGTGCCTCTAATCATATGACTAGTAATAAATCTCTTTTGTCGCACTTCTTTTATTCTGATTCTTTTCCTTCTGTAACTGTGGCGGATGGATCCAAAATTAAAGTTCAAGGTCTTGGTCAAGCACACTCACCTTCAAACATGTCTTTATAGTATTTACTCTATGTTCCTAGTTGCCTAATCAATTTAGTATTTATTAACAAGCTCATTTGTAACCATAATTGTTCGGTTCTTTTTATTTATAATTTTGTTTATGTCCATGATCGACGTATACGAAGGACAATTGGAGTAGGGAATGAGTGTGAAAGATTACATCATCTATCACCGCTAATGGCATGCGCTTTTGTCGCGTCTCAAAACCTTACACATCAGTGTTTGAGGTCACCCTAGCCTTAATAAAATGTGTCTTTTAGCTCCAAAATTTTCTAAGCTTTTGTCATTTTAGTGTCTGTCATGTCAGTTAGGCAAACATACCAGTCACACATATTGTCAACGAGTAAATAAAAGTGTTGTGTCACCTTTTGCTTTAGTTCATTTTGATATTTGGGGTCATAGTCATGTCAAGTCAACTTTAGTTTATTATTAATTTTTAACTTTCATCGATTATTACTTGATTATTTTTAATGAAAAATTGTTCAAATATTTTTCATATATTCTAAGAATGTTATGCCGAAATTAAAAACTAGTTTGCCATTTCCATTAAAATTTTATGCACTAATAATGCTCGTGAATATATGTCATCTTAGCTTCAATATTTTTAACATTACAAGATATTATTCATCAGTCATCATGTGCTCACACACCACAACAAAACGATGTCACTGAGCGGAAGAATCGTTATTTAGTTGAAACTGCACAGACTCTTTTACTTCACCACAATGTCCTTTCTCGTTTTTGGGGTGAATTTTTTCTCACAGCTTGTCACCTTATCAATCAAATGCCTTCCTCGGTCCTTCATGATCAGATTTCATACTTTAACCTGAACCCACAATATGATATCTACCTCATTCCTCTTTGTGCCTTTGTTTGCACATCCTTTGCCCATGACCTCAATGCAGGTAAAGACAAGCATTCTGAAAAATCTTTCAAATGTATTTTTCTAGGATACTCACGTATATAAAATAAATATCCTTATTTTTCCTCTAACTTCAATGATATCTTATTTCCTCGGATATCACATTCTTCGAAACTTTCTCATTTTCTCTGCCTCTGTGTCACTTGTAGAGAACTATACTTCAGATGTTCGAGAGATCCCTTCTATCACCCTCACCCCCATTGCATCCTCTACACCCCATTGCGTGTCTACCAAAAGCAAACACATAATCCATCAAAATTAAGAGATGATATTAATTTACCAGCACCATCTCCTGCTCAAACTGCTCCTCTAGTTACCTCACCTGAACTTGACCTTTTAGTAGCATTACGAAAAATGTATTTTCTCCCATTATCCTAATCCTAAATATGCTTGTGTTTTAAATTATGAGTGTCTCTCTACTTCCCATGTGTCTTTTGTTTTTGGTTTAGATTTTGTGTTTATTCTTAAGTTTGTCGATGAAGCTACGATTGATCCCAATTGGCATTAGGCCATGGTGGAAGAAATTGATGCATTACATTCAAATAATACTTGGGACACTGTTTCTTTACCCCTATAAAAACTAGAATGGGATTTCAATAGGTTTATAAGGTAAATTTTGGACTAGATGGTCATATCGACCGTTTCAAAGACCATTTGGTAGCTAAGGGCTACACACAAATATTTGGTCTCAATTATGGTGGAACTTTTTCTCCAGTGGCCAAGATCAATCCAGTTCACCTTTTTCTTGCGATGACTGCCATTCATTATTCTTTGCTTCAATAGTTGGACATTAAAAATACCTTTTTACACTGAGAGTTGGAAGAGGAAGGTTGTATGGATCAACCTCCAAGTTTTACTATTCCTTAAAATTCTAGACTTGTTTGCTGGATTCGTCGTTCTCTTTGGGGGTTTTATGAATTTTCATGAATTTTATTGATAAAACAAAAAATAGCAAGATGAACTTTTCTATTACAATAGTTGTATTTAAGAGTTTTTAATTTAGTGCTTTTGTGATCATGGCAAATTTTATCAAACTTTTTAACATTATTATCAAGTTCATAACCTAGGTTGGCTTTATTGCACAATGCTCTTTGATTTTCAAGAAGGATATTCATATTGTATCTTCCCTTAGTGAATGTTTCAAGTGTGTTTTGTAATCTTTTATTTTTGTTTATCAAAGTATCACATTGATTGCACTTGTCAGATTCGACTAAAACTTATGGAAAAAGAGCTTAATTCGTAACACTTTGTCTTTCTCTAATAGTTTCTACTTCTTTCATAAGGTTTTGACTTTCAATTTCGAGGAAGGATGATGTTTTTTAGAGTTAGATACAATTTTTTTCACCTTATTGGTTTCTTTATTTAACTTTTTTTGCAAATGCGAAACAAGTCATGATAAGAAAAATGGGAAGTTACCTCGTTATATTCGTGGTCTTCCATGAAACATATATTTGCTTCTTCATCTGAGGAGTCAATATCATTATTGTCCCAGGAAATGTTAGCTTTCTTTTCTCCTTTATGAGGTTTCTTTGCC